TTGAATTCATTTATTCCTGTATAGAAATGGTCTCCTGCAATCATGCTTTTTGGGAAATTGGAAGTGGCCTATAAGGTGTTTCAATGTACACTCTGTCTCAAATGTTTTTAAGCTTGACTATTCATCCTAGTACACCAAGCGTCGGGTAATCACTTGTGCTAAAGTTTGTCAGTACCACCTCAAATATTTTCAAAGTCCATTGACATATGGCTTTGAAACTTTGCACACTTGTTCAGCATCAACCTGTACACAGGATGAAGTAACTCTATCAAGCATTTTAACAGAATTATGCCCCTTTTTTGACTTATATGAATTTATGTTAAAGTTTGCATACCACCTCAAATATTATCAAAGTCCATTGACATATGGCTTTGAAACTTTGCACACTTGCAGTTCACCATCTTGCCTCCAACCTGTGGACAGGAGGAGGTAACTCTATCAAACATTTTAACAATATTATGCCCGATTACTATCAAGCACTGAGAATAGTAGAGCCATGCTGTCCTACTGACAGCTCTTGTTGATTTTTTAATCACTGTTAATTATAAGTATACATATATAATTAGGAACTGATATAATTCTGATGTTAGATATTATATCTGATATTTTATAATTAACTTGGTTATTTTACCCCGGCTGTTCACCAGGATAATAAGGTTCACTGTTTTACATTGCTAGGATTGTTAGAGGAATGACTGAACTTCTTACATACAAGGGTCATTGGCTTATAGTAGAAATATAATTCTATCCTAGCCGTGGGTGGTTTAAATAAATAAGATTACAGGGAAAAAAGAGTTTAAATAGGAATATTGCTTGAACAATGTCCTTATATTTGTATGTTTTTGTATAAAAAGCAGTTAGTTTGAATGTGAGATGCAATGAGAAAGTCATTGTCCCCAGAATTTTGTCATGAACGTTCTTTGAACTTCCGAGAAGAAATTGCTTACTCTGTTTTAGTTCTGTATTTATTGTGGTGGTCTGCATATAACAATTTGAATTACTATATCTATACTATATCAAATATTTTTGAATTACGGCAACTTTAAATTTTTTATCTTTTATGTTTTAAATACTAGTCTAGGAAGATAATTTCATACTAGTTAATCCAGTATTGGTATATATTTTCAAACTGGGTTATATAATAATTTCAGACTTGTTTATATGTATGTTATTCAGACTTTATTGTCTAATATAAGAATATAATTCCAGACTTGTTAATATCTCGTATAGTTATTTAGTAATAGATATATGATTTTAGACAAGTTGCTGGAAAAATAGGTATATTATTTTTAGACATAGTTATAAAGTATAGGCATGTACTTATATAGTTTACTTGAAGAAGATCACAAACACATAATTTTTACGTAACTTCACCGCCTAGCATAGCCTAGGTTCCAGTCTGTCGATTTTTTATGTGCTTCTGTTCGGCAAATCGACAGCCTGGGGAAATACAATTATGAATCGAAGCGCCACCAAGTATTCATCCCGAAAATTATGGGTGTTATTTAAAGAACGATAACTCATGCAACGACAAACTAGTTCTATAAATAGAAACGGAATTTCCACAAAGTGACCTGAAGCTCAACGAACAGTTACGAAGCCTCACTTTCAAAACACCATTTCCGATTAAAAACTAACACTCGTTGACAAAGTTTATTGCATGACGAGTGAATTTGATCAACAGGTTTGATTATATAATTAAAGTTGATGTTTGTGAGCATCAGAGAATTGTGCTGGACGCAATTTATAATAGTAAATGGAGTCAAATTTTCAACATTCGTCATCTTCGCCTCGATTTTGATTTAGTCATGTAATTTGTTGGTCACGTGCTAATCGGTCTATTAATAGGATTATCATAAGTTGATAATTACATGGGAAACCCTGCAGGTTTCCCCAGGCGTTGATACTATCAAAACTAGAGATGTTGTGTTATCTATGACGATTGAGTATGAAATAGTGCATATGTTAGAATAAGCAAAAAATATCAACGCCTGAATCCCAGGCTAAGCCTAGCACATTTCATAAAAATCCAAAATACAGAGACATAAAAAAATAACAGAGATTAGAGCAAAATTAAGATACATTTAGAATAAAGACTTTAACACAGAATTATTCCCTGCGGTCTGGAGACCGCAGCGTATTGGTACGCGTTTAACTTTTGAGGCATGGAGGAGCACGTGACTTGTTTTCGGTACATGGAGGAGCATGTGATCTGTAAACCGTACATGATTGGTTAATTGACCTTTCCGAAAACCTAGCTAAATACCGGTTGCCGTTACGTTACGGATTTACCTGTAGGGAATTAGTCCGAATTACAACTTATTAAGAACAAAAAACTATTACGTGATATTTCTAATTTTCTATAATTATTTTACTGTTTAAGGTGGAAAAACTTGAATGATGTGTTTGAAAATTATCAATGTTTCTTTAATATCTATCTCAAATTTTACAAACAATAAATTGTTTACACTGAAAATTTACAAAATTAAAATATTCGTAGGGGCATCTGCCATAATAAATAGAGATAACTTCTGCATAAACTTGTGTGTTTACTTTATTTGTTTTTTGCTCGGAATTATTCATAAAATGGCAGGCCTATTTAATCATTTTCTTAAAAAGAAATAATTGTTTTATGTTCGACCTTCTCCGGTCTTCAACGGTCACCAGTTTCCAAAGACCTTATTCTATATTGATCGTTTATTCAATTGTCAACTATATTCCTGATACAAACGTTTATTTATTCCCACCCCCAAAATAATGTTGAAAATAGTTAAATGAAATATCTTTATATCATTAAAATGTTCACCGCAGGAAACCATTTTACTTGAAAATATGTTTGTTTGTTACATGTACAATGAGCTTCTTAAAAACCATAAAACCTGCTGAATTTCTGCTGGGTTAAAGGATATTAATACACTTGTTACTATATATAGTAACAAAATCGCTATGATTTTATACTGATTATGAGTGTCATGTGACCTATTATGAGTTTGCGGCCCGGGGCCGAGAACTAGTTATCAGCCCGCAGAACATGTGCACGTGCACAAACTGAAACAATGACGTCATATTTTACGTCATCAAACAGTTAACTGTAAAAGTGAAAGTAGGTTGTCAGCACGAATCGCTTTATTTTTATTATGAGAGCTTAAGCGTATTTAGTACGAACACATTTTTGTTACTATTGAAATTTGAAGAAATAATACGACAAATTCATTCCGAAAAAAATGAAAATAAAACCTGCTTCTAGATCCTACTGCTTTGAACACACAAACAGTGAACATCTCTGTACAGAACAGTAGAAGAGTAGACAAGAATTTCAACGAAAGAACTTTGTTGTTTTTTTTAATTGCTACTATTAGATCTACCAAGTGTATTAAAGACATTAATACACGTCAGAGTAGGGCTGGAAGGTGATAATCGGCCCTGAATGAATAATGGCCCTCGGGCTAAAGCCCTCGGGTCCATTATTCATTTTGCGGGCCGATTATCACCTTCCGGCCCTCTCCTGCCGTGTATTAACCTCTTAATAATGCAAGTAGTATCACATAATAAAATGCAAAAAATGCATCATTGGCAAGTTTGATCAGAAAAAGAACTTAAAACATGCTTAAATTTTCTCATTGGATGTCTGTATGAACCCTGTTCATGAAAAATTGTATACAATATATTCTTGCTAAAATTTACATCATTCTGTTAAAGGATTTATTTTCCCAAGAAAACCAGTTTTCAAACAATAATATCAACATTCTGAAGATTTTGTTAATATATCCAAGGTTATAATGTGTCTAAGGTATGTAAGTATAGCCTTGTGTTTTATTTATTTCGAACATGAAACAACAATTTCTGTCATTGAATGTAATATAATTACTTTATTGTTGAGCTATAGGCCTTTGAACTTTAGGTAGATTTGAAAATGTTATTAGATAAAGTAGACATGAACTTCTGTGTGTATTGAAAATACTATTTTTCTTCAATTCTTGAATGAATAAGAGGTCATCATTTGTTGGGGACAGCTATGGCCTGGTAGTAGAGGTTGTTAACTTCAAACTACATGCCTTTCACCATTGTGGGTTCAAATCCTACCAGGGACTCTGAATTCTTTTATATAAAGAAGCTTTCAGGTTAGCTAACTGAACTTTTGTGGTTCTAATTAGGGTTTATACCCAAAGTAATGCTGAGGTCTTTGTTCAGTGAAAGCTGGAATGTTGCCATTACAGTGTCAGTGACTTTAAACCCAACAAAAAAACAAATACATTTGTATAGATATTATTACTTTACATTACACATTAGTTTTCAACATTGATAATTATCATTGTTAACATTAGTTACAAAGTTGTAAAGTTATAATTCTAGGATTGCCAGAGTTCAATAGCATGAATTTCCAAAGTTAATTAATGTTTCCATAACAACTTTATCTCTATTAGATGATGCATATAATCAAATGTACATTGCTAAAAGTAAGATTAATTGTGAATGTCAGAATCAGGCAGAATTATTGAAATGCTACAATGTTACTTTAATTATTATTTTATAGTTCAAATATCTGTGAATCATGATATATACATTTTGTCATATATTTGTAACAGTTTATTCAATATTAAAATTTTATTGTAACAACATCCAATAACTTAATTCATACAAATCAAAATGATATGAAATTATTTTTTTTCTCTTGTAAGTCATTAAAGTCATTTATTCAGATAAATGTTAATTACAGGTATATATATTTTTTTTATTTATAAGATTGCTTAAAATCAATGACTTTATATTATTCACCCTTTTCTAACATGGTTAAAATTAAGGTGACCCTACAATGGACATTAAAATTCTAGCTTTGAGACTGTTATAAAGCTAAATGTATTTTTTAGAGTTACCTGCTAGTGCTTGAAATAATTCATGATATCCTTAACTAGTAAAGCTTGAGTGTTTTATGGTTTAACTAGAAGAATATATGGCTGACTTCACACATTTCATAATGTTTTGTTTTAATTTATTTGCAGTAATAAATGTACAGAACAAGAAGATCCAAGAACAAGCTCAGCAACAACTGCAGCCCCTGCCACAGCCTCCACCCCAACAACCTCCTCTAGCTGCCATCAGTCAGATCACATCAGTAGCTCCGGGCGTGATCCCTCCTCCCCAGGTGGCACCATGGCCTACTTCAGCTCCTCCCCCATCATTACTGCCATCTATAACAATACAGCAGGCAGCACCTATAGAGGTAAGGCTCATTATATTTCCTTATGGGGGAACTTTCAAGATTAATAGCATTAGAGAAATAGAGATTGGCTTAGAGAAGTTCAAAACAGTGCCCATATTTAGGTACACTTTCAAAGAAAAAACAAATCTAATGTTGGTTTAAGTTTTAGCATCAATTCTTGTTGACTTTGTTGTCAAGTGCAGGTAAATCTGCTGAGTACTAGTGCAGAATTATGCCCCATTTCCTATGTTGCTTATATTTAACTATTAACCACTAAGAAAAGTCTTGTTATAGATAATGACAGCAGTTATTAAAATCAGTGTGTTTCAAATTGGCCTTGATCTATGTATCTTTATTAAGTGTTCATTTAGAGTTGTTCTTTAACCATTTACTATGGATCATGTACTAGTATATGCAATAACCACTGCCATCCATGAGTAGATTCATAAAACTGAATCAGTTACATTGATATTTTTAGCTCGACTATTCGATAAGAATAAGTAGAGCTATTGTAGTCACCTGAACGTCGGCGTCCGCGTCGGCGTAACCACTTATGTTAAAGTTTTTGGAATACCTCAAATATTTTCAAAGTCCATTGTCATATGGCTTTGAAACTTTGCACACTTGTTCACCATCATGACCCCAAACTGTAGACAGGGGTTGGTAGCTGTATCAAGCATTTTGACAGAATTATGCCCCTTTTTAGCTCACCTGTCACAAAGTGACAGGGTGAGCTTTTGTGATCGCTTTTCGTCCGGCGTCTGTCCGTCGTCCGTCCGTCCGTCCGTAAACTTTTACTTTAAATGACATCTCCTCATAAACCACCAAGCCAATTTCATCCAAACTTCACAGGAATGTTCCTTTGGTGGTCACCTTTAAAAATTGTTCAAAGAATTTAATTCCATGCAGAACTCTGGTTGCCATGGCAACCGAAAGAAAAAACTTTGAATATCTTCTTTTAAAAAACCATAAGAGCTAGAGCTTAGATATTTGGCATGAAACATCTTCTAGTGAGTGTCTACCAAGTTTGTTCAAATAAAAGCCCTGGGGTCAAAATTGGCCCCGCCCCAAGGGGTCATTGATTTTCCCTATATGCATATAGTAAAAACTTAAAAAATCTTCTTTTAAAGAACCCAAAGAGCTAGAGCTAAGCTATTTAGCATGAAACATGTTCTAATGGGTGTCTACCAAGTTTGTTCAAATAAAAGCCCTGGGGTCAAAATTGGCCCCGCCCCGGGGGGTCATTGATTTTTCCTATATGCATATAGTAAAAACTTAAAAATTCTTCTTTTAAAGAACTCAAGGAGCTATGCCTAAGATCTTGAGCATCAAACATGTTCTAATAGATGTCTACAAAATTTGTTCAAATAAAAGCCCTTGGGTCAAAATTGGCCCCGCCCCAGGGGGTCTTTGATTTTCCCTATATGCATATAGTAAAAACTTAAAAATTCTTCTTTTAAAGAACCCAAAGAGCTAGAGCTAAGATATTTAGCATGAAACATGTTCTAATGGGTGTCTACCAAGTTTGTTCAAATAAAAGCTCTGGGGTCAAAATTGGCCCCGCCCCGGGGGGTCATTGACTTTCCCTATATGCATATATAGTAAAAACTTAAAAATTCTTCTTTTAAAAAACTCAAGGAGCTATGGCTAAGATCTTGAGCATCAAACATGTTCTAATAGGTGTCTACCAAGTTTGTTCAAATAAAAGCCCTGGGGTCAAAATTGGCCCCGCCCCAGGGGGTCATTGATTTTCCCTATATGCATATAGTAAAAACTTAAAAAATCTTCTTTTAAAGAACCCAAAGAGTTAGAGCTAAGATATTTAGCATGAAACATGTTCTAATAAGTGTCTACCAAGTTTGTTCAAATAAAAGCCCTGGGGTCAAAATTGGCACCGCCCCGGGGGTCATTGACTTTCCCTATATGTGTATAGGAAAAACTTTAAAAATCTTCTTTGAAAAAACCCAAATAGCTAGAGTTAAGATATTATGCATGAAACATCTTTTAGTGAGTACAAAGTTTGTTCAAATAAAAGACCTGGGGTCAAAATTGGCCCCACCCCGGGGGTCATTGATTTTCCTTATATGTGTATAGCAAAAACTTAAAATCTTCTTTGAAAAAACCCAAATAGCTAGAGTTTAGATATTAAGCATGAAACATCTTCCAGTTAGTGTCTACAAAGTTTGTTCAAATAAAAGCCCTGGGGTCAAAACTGGCCCGGCCCCAGGGGTGTCATTGTTTTTAACTATATGTGTATAGTAAAAACTTTAAAAAAATCTTCTTTTAAAAAGCCCAAATGAGCTAGAGCTTAGATGTTTAGCATGAAACATCTTCTTATGGGTGTCTACCAAGTTTATGCAAATAAAAGCCCTTGGGTTAAAATTGGCCCTGCAATGTTGGGGGGTGGGGGGGGCCTATATACAGGTGAGCGACCTCAGGGCCATCATGGCCTTCTTGTTTGACTTAGAATTTTTGTTAAAGTTTTTGTAATACCTCAAATATTTTCAAAGTCCATTGACTTATGGCTTTGAAACAAGATGAAATTTTATACTCTTTGAGAGCTTAATAGGACATCTTCCAAGGTCTATAACTGTAACATGGATTTAAAGAAAAAAAATTTCCCTTTTGTTAACTTAGGAAATTTTACATTATCAAGGCTTTCTAACTATCAAGCACTAAGAATAGTCGAGCGTTGCTGTCTTACCGACAGCTCTTGTTTGACTTAGAATTTACGTTAAAGTTTTTGTAACACCTCAAATATTTTCAAAGTCCATTGACATATGGCTTGAAACTTTGCACACTTGTTCACCATCATGACCCCAACCTGTAGACAGGAGGAAGTAACTCTATCAAGCATTTTGACAGAATTATGCCCTTTTTTTCGACTTAGACTTTTCGTTAAAGTTTTTGTAATACCTCAAAAAAAAAGTCCATTGACATATGGCTTTGAAACAAGATGAAATTTTATACTCTTTGAGAGCATAATAGGACACTTACTGTAACATGGATTTAAAGAAATTTTTTTTCCCTTTTGTTAACTTAAGAAATTTTACATTATCAAGGCTTTCTAACTATCAAGCACTAAGAATAATCCAGCGTTGCTGTCCTACCGACAGCTCTTGTTTGATATGTGACAGAATACCTTCTGAGGCCCCATTTCAGTATTTCAGACCTGATTTGAAAGTTTTTTTTTTTTTTTTTTTTTTTTTTTTTTTACAATATTTTGAACGTGAACTTTTTATTCTGATATATATTATTATTATTGGTCAATGTGATATTTTATTGTATTAAAGTAAAATATTTCTGGCATTAAAGTATCATCTGTTATTACAGGCATCAGCTGTGATGTGACATTTTCCCAGATTTTTTTTTGGATTTTTTTATAAACTAAAAAGAAATGTCAATGTAGCATAAAACCCCACTAGGGATGACATTAAGTGCATGGTTAGTAATCAAATTAGACGCACTGACTACACGTACAGTATTAAAGTTATATTGCAAATTTACAACTCAGCTCTATAGATGAAAGGAAGAACGGTACTTCTCTATGTGCTATTTTAGATACAGAGCCACCTAGATTCTATAGGCTTACGTCATAGCTTTCTCACAACATGACTTTAATATCCATTCCCTGGATGGATTAGAACCCACAATGGCAAATATTGATGTGCAAATTGCTGCGATGAAGTTAGCATTTGTTCCAAATCTAAGACAATTAAGCAAGACCACTGCATGTACATACTTGTTGCAAAGTGCAAAAACAAGAAATGAAAAGAAGCATTGAAATATCATAGGGTTTTATCAGAACATGATATTAAAATATATATATATTAACATTAACAGCAACCTCCGCCTGGTCAGGCCCCGCCCCAGACACCACAACAACAACAAGTGGCCCAGCTGCAGCAGCAGATACAGTTGCAGCAGACCCAGATACAGAGTCAACAACAAATGAATGAGCAGCAGATCACACAATCAGAGCAGAACCTGGCAGCACAGTACCAAAGCTTTATGCAGCAACAACAGGTTCGTACATGTACAATATCAATTCATCTACACAGTTTTATTATAGTAAAATCATCCTTGACCTTTCCTGCTTGCCCGGCTGAATTTGTGTAAATGGGCTTGTCCTGCTTTTAATTAATTTGACATAATCAAATACCAACATTGTGGCTGTCAGATTTTGATCAAAAAATGAAACTGTATGTCGGAAGTATTTTTGTCTTCTGCTTCTTAAGTATTTTTGTTGAATTTGTCAGCTTTTTATCTCAGTCTTGTACAAAACTTCATTAAGTATAGGTTATAATTCATTTAATAAGGCATTCACAAATCTGCACAATAGGATTTACTAGAGTGTTTGATTAAAGCCATCTACAAAAGTTAATTTGAAAATACTGCAATCCCATTGGACTAAAATGGTACAAGCATGCACACGGAATGGTGTTAATTATGCAACTATAGTGCTTTGTGAGTATTGGCTAGTTTCCCAGTAGTAATGCAGTAGTTATATTTGTTTGCTTGATTCACTATAATCTTAGTGGAAGCTGACAGAAAATCTTGAACACATGCCTAAACTACAATCATAACAACCCATTAATTACTAATAAAATAGCGGAATTTGGAACAAGCTTGTGAAAAAAACAACAACATCTTTTCTCAGAAAAGTTCAAATTTTCTGATTTCATAATCATTTCAAAACAACAATAACAATGAGGAAATAAAACAAGGAATTTGTTTGATGTGTGACACATGGATGACATAGTTTTAAAACATGTGGCACATGCTACATCAAGTTGTTTTAAGTGTTACCCTTGTTTGTGTGTATGTTCAAAACAAGTAACAATATTTCTGTCTAAGAATATTCAATGAGTGCTGCTGCATATTAACAAACAAATTTGAATGAGATATATGTATTGTTTATTAATCAAATACTGTAGCTGTTTTGTTGACGTAAAATGTGACATCATTGTTTCAGTTTTACACTAGCTCTTCCCCCATGTTCAGCTTGCTTATTATGATTAAGACTTTTCGGCCACAGAACACAAACTCATAATCGATCATGTGACACTCATATTCAGTTGGAATCATTGACAATTTTGTTACTATATAATTATAGTAACAAATGTATTAATACCATATCTTAAAAAAAGCATCAGTGCTTTCTTAGTAAACAACTGTTTTATAGCATTATTTGTATGTGGAGTTTTACGTTGATATGAAAGATTGTAACATTAATATTTAAATCTCACACGCAATATAAGTCATCGAGACTACAAGTCTCCTGTGCATGGGCATAACATGTCTTATAGGTATTTTACCTGCATGCACAGGTGTTTATGACCATGCACAGGTATTGACATGGAGGGTGATTTAGAAGCTGTTGACAGCATGCTTAGAGAGAATCAGCACTTGAATATTGTAGGTAGATACAGTGAGGAATTGTCAAACATTTGTTCCAGATATTTGCCCTTTTTATGCCCCCGCCATGTAATGGCCGGGGCATACAGTGTTACCCTGTTCCGTCCTTCCGTCATTCTGTCATTCCGTCATCATCAGTTTCCGTTCATTATCTTAGTAACGGTTGCACACATTCAACTCATATTTGACATGTGGATATGTCATGAGAAAATACAGGTCAAGTTCAAATTTGGTCATGGTTCGATGATTTTTGGCAGAGTTATGCCCCTTTAACTTTGAAAATAATATGAAATTTTCAGTTTCCGTTCATTATCTTCCCAACGTTACAACACATTCAACTCAAATTTGACATATGAATATGTTATGAGAAAATACAGGTCAAGTTCGAATTTGGTCATGGTTTGATGATTTTTGGCAGAGTTATGCCCCTTTTACTTTGAACATAATATGAAATTTTCAGTTTCCGTTCATTATCTCCCCAACAGTACAACACATTCAACTCAAATTTGACATATGGATATGTCATGAGAAAATACAGGTCAAGTTCGAATTTGGTCATGGTTCAATGATTTTTGGCAGAGTTATGCCCCTTTGAACCACTTTGAAAATTATATGAAATTTTCAGTTACAGTTTATTATCTCCCCAACAGTACAACACATTCAACTCAAATTTATCATATGGATATGTTTTTGGAATGCCCAGGCCAAGTTTGAATTTGGTCATGGTTCAATGATTTTTGGCAGAGTAATGCCCCTTTCACTTTGAAAATAATATGAAATTTTCAGTTTCTGTTTATTATATATGAAGTATATGCTCGCCCATATGGTCTCTTTCCGGTGGCGAGGGTAAACAAACCCAAACACACACACACTGTTTATTATCTCCCCAACAGTACAACACATTCAACTCAAATTTGACATATGGATATGTTTTTGGAATGCCCAGGCCAAGTTCGAATTTGGTCATGGTTCAATGATTTTTGGCAGAGTAATGCCCCTAACACTTTGAAAATAATATGAAATTTACAGTTTCTGTTTATTATCTACCCAACAGTGTCGCATATTCAACTCAAATTTGACATATGGATATGTCAAAGGAATGGGCAGGTCAAGTTGGAATTTGGTCATGGTTCGATGAATTTTTGGCAGAGTTATGTCCCTTTCACTTTGAAAATAATATAGATACATCTTAGGAATAAGCAGTTTAAGTTTGAATTTGGTTGTGGTTCAATGATTTTTGACAAACTTAGCTTTCTTGAATGCTGGAAAAATTTTGAACTTTCAGTTTCAGCACTCATACTTTTGTGGAAATGTATGTAACCATTATTTTGGCTACAAATATGAAATATGCTATTTTCAAAAGGTTGAGACTGAATAATTTCAGTGCCTTGAACATTGTATGAAAATGGTTTGTGTTAACATTGAAAAGTTTTAAGGGCTTTGAACTTAAAATGAAAACAATAATTTGTGCAAAATAAATTGGAACTAAATATTATAACATCTGAAATTTTGGCTGCAAGCGGGGGCATCCGTGGCATGATGACACATTTCTAGTTTCAAGATTATACAGTGCTGATAAGAATGAAATTAACCTTCTAGTGGTGTTTGTACATAAGTGTCATGAACACTGGGTTGTACACAAAACTGTGCTGATTAAATTCACAAAAATTACATCTAGTCAATATGAGGGATGCTTGGCATGTGACTGTAAAGATATAAGTTTAAACCTAATTCTAATGGAAAAAACATTTATTCCTGAATTGACTTGAAAATGTCTTGTATAATATAGTAAAATATGGATGATTGGAACAGTCTTTGGTAGTGGCTAAAGTTATTATGCCCTCTACTGGGACTAGGTTGCATTTTCTGTTTAGTTTGTCTGCACCTGTGTTGGCTGTATAAATTCTTTATACCTTGAAGGATTCTATTCATACTTTGCTCAAATGTTTATCTTAACAAGGTAGTGTGCAGGATCCATGCAGCTGCTATGCCAACTTCAGGTCAAGGTCATCCTTGAAGGTCAGGGATGTTGGACAATTTTGTGTCTGACCTATAAGTTCTTAACTCCTTGAAGGACTTTCTTCAAACTTAGTTCAAATGTTCATCTGAACAAATAATGATACATGGACCTACATTAAATTCTGTGTCATAGAGATGGTAGAATCAGTTGGTCACTCTGTGGACCAGCACTACTAGTTTTATCTTATTTAAGAAATAATATATCCCAAACAGCGATTTTATCGCTCATTAGCATCACTGTTTGTAGTTTCGGATGCGAGAGAATTATATCACGAGGGCGTAGCCCGAGTGATTTAATGATGCGCATCCGAAAGACAAACAGTGATGTTATCAAGCAATAAAATCAACGATTTGGATATATTATTTCGATTTTAACACGACATCAACAAATAAATGCTGCCCTACCTGATACTCAGCTAAATTGCACATGATTTGTTTCCGTACTTATATTCAGCGCGTCGCATCTCTAGTGGTTACATCACATGTATAATGATTACGTCACATGTTAAAAAAAAACAACATCAAACTGTGGTTTTATAGCATAATCACACACACTTTCGGTTCTTCTATGTTCAGTGGGGGAAATTGCAGGTCTATTAGAATTAATTATTGATTTGTAATATCAACAATATTATTGTAACATACTGTGTCTTTTTTGTTTGTTTGTTTTTGATATTATTATTCAGTATTTTGTTATGATATATTGATGCATATACAAGTGTATAACAATTGATCATTATCCATCTAATAACTTATATTTTACACCCTATTGTCTTTGTTTCTTTCATATGAAAATATCATTATTATTGTTATTAATATTATATAATCTATCATGATATACATGTATTTTGTCAAGGCTTTGTTTGTATTGATATACAAATGTGCATGTAGAATGCAATATCATTTATATTGTACAGTCACAGATAGAAGATGCAATATGGGGTAATAAAGCAGAACAGTTACAGAAGTTGAGTGAGGAATGTGAAATCTCCCTAGATGACCTTGATAAAACTGTACAGCCTATTATAGAATCATGTACCAAAGATGCCATTCAGGTTGGTATATTATAAAAGTGCAAAAATTGTTTAGATTGATGTCGCTTATTTTGATATAACGTGATTTTTTTACACGTGGACCTTGACTGGAATAGAGAAAACTGTATACTTATTCTTGGAAATCATTATGTGACATTGAGTTATAACATGCAAGATGGATGTGTTTTTAACGTCATTATGCATGTTGATGTAGACAGCGACAACGGTGTGGAGAGGCGATGAATATTTTATTGCGTCTTACTGACATGTTATTAGCATACAGTCAATCATAAGAAAGGCGACACTTGATCATCCTTTATGATTGTCTTATACTGCTAAACACCTTAATATATCAATGATATAAAGTCATAGCATCTGAATTATGGGAAAATTATTTCACAATCATTTGGCTTTCATGCACTGATCCACCAGATAAATATTGAATGAAAATTTTTAGCTGGTGCTATGTGTGTAATGTTAATTGATAATGCATACATTCTGAGATTATTTGTTTCAGTGCCTTACACTTAAGACTTTGTTTACAGTTTGTTCTGTATGGCTTTTTTCTCAGGTGCATGCAAATAATGCAAGTATGTGCACATGAAGCATTCCTCAGCACTATAGTTGGCAAGTTGCCATATGACTTTGAAAGTGCAGTGACTTAAATCAAAACCACAAGGAGAAAAAATGTCAAAATGATCCCCATATTATGTCTGTCCTAGTTGTTTCACTGATTTTAAAAGATTTAGACATTTTAAAGTGTAATGATTTTTATTTAACCTCACAACCTATGGTAGAAGGTAAAGGTCAATAGGTCAAGTCATATGGGCAGTTTGGTCATAGCTCTTATTTACCTGGAATGAATTTAAAAATTCCTGACAAAGATGACAGTTAGGTTTGCAAGTTTGGATTTAACCTATGACCAGCTGGAACCAAAATTGATTAACCTTTGCCACAATAGAGCCAACCAAGTCTACATATCCATGCAGTGTGACCAGCCCATGATCTATGCTGTCCTTAGCTTGACTTTTTAGAAGAAATATTTCAAGCTATTGCTACAGTCCAGTTGTCTTTCCTGTTGCCATTGCCATTCAGAAACTTAAACATTGGCCATTATTTGTTTTTCTTAATGGATTGTCTTCATACTTGGACACAACAACCCTTTGGACAAGACTTTTAAGTAGACCAGACTGAACTTGAGTGACCTACACCTTTAAGGTCATATGTTTATTTGTTACAAAAATATGTTTTGTAGGAGTTGTCTTTACTATAATATTCTTCCTGCTTTAGGAATAATAAAAAGTTGAGTGTGACCCCCACTAGGTTGTGGCTCCTGTTATATTCTGATATCAAAATGCCATAACACTTCAAATGGACTGGTCCAAATTCAAAGCTTGACAAATCCTTGACCTATATTCAGCAGGTTAAAGGTTAAGTTTGTATGACAATGGAGAGGTTGTTGGTTTGTTGGCTATGTACCATGATACTGTAATATTGTTATAACTGTATTATAAAGTTTTGTCATGTCAGACTTACAATTATTTCTAAAAATAGAAACAAGGTAATTGGTGGTGTCATGTTGTGTTGTGTCAGGCTTATTGATTGAATGTTGAAGTATTTCTTGACATATTTTTTGATACCTTCACAAAATAGAGTAATTAAATGTTCAGCTTTTACTGAAATGACTGATTTAATGGGAGACACAAGTGATGTCTAGGCAATTTTCTGTCTAATTTAGTCTTTTAAAAGGACCAGAGCCAAATGGACTCCTTATGACGGACAGTGGGGCTATTGACTTACTTTTAGAATTATTATTATAACAATTCACATGCAAGAAGCATGTGACAAAATTAAAAGGTTTCCTTTGTACGTTTCTCAGATTTGTATATTTTGCAGTGAAAGCAGAATTATTGAACAAATTACAGTCATAAAAGGCTTGAATTACACTCCGTTTTTCTGTCATTGTCATTAAAGGGCTCTTTTATGTATTATATAAAAGGTTTTATGGTATTTAGGTGAACAGGGATAGTTTTATCTGCTAAATGTACTTTAATGAATGCTCATGCAGAAATTATCAAAGATATTTCTTTTTGTCTCATTAGTTTTAATTCATACAGGTGAAACTTGATTTGAGAGTCTGAAATATTGTCTAGTGAAAAGTTCAGAATTATTAGGATCAAAATTTTTCATTTGAAAAAATAACATATGTATATGTGTAAGTATAAAAAGCCTCTGGACACACATGCATGTGTTTATTTTAGGGTTTTCTTTATACATGTTTTTTTGTGTGTTTTTTTTTGTGAGCCAATACAATAATTACTTATAGAAAAAAAGTTACATCTTTTTTTTTCTTTAGAATAGGTAATTTTAGTTACATGCCACTGCTTATTTCTACTAGAATAGTGGTGTCTGTAAGATTGAGCAGGTTTTTATGGTATCAGTGTACTAAATAAATATGTGTAATATTTTATTGTTTCAGAGTGGTAAAAGTTGGATATTCCAGCACTGTACAACAGACCAACAATCACAGCTTATTACTTTATTCCTTGTTAAAAGGTAAAAATGTTGTTTCTGTAGGCCATTAATGAAAACATACTAAATAAACATTATATAAGAAACAAACTTACAGTGAAGGGTAACAGACAGGGTCACATGTGGCTTTCAGTGTTAATCTATAGCATTCTCGCAGTGACTGTATGTACCCATGTGACCAATGCAAACATAGATCAGTTGGCACATTTCTCACATCTGATCATGGTCTGCACTGTTCGCTTTTCAGTTAATACATACATGTACAAAATGTTTTTAGAAATTTTCTCATTGAGAGATCGGCAAGTTTAAAACTTACCATTCTAATAACTTAAATGGATTATTGCTCTTTCAATTTGGATAAATCCATTTTAGTATTTAGTCAAAATTTGAAAATATATACTAAAATATAATGAACAGTGCAGACGGCATGGGTGTGCCAGCTGGTTTTGTGCTGCCTTGGCTGCATCGATAGAATCAACAACACTAGACTAAGGGTTTAGTTATTAAATGTTGTAAGAGTTAGTTGAACTCTTTCAACTTGGTTAATATATATAACTCTTTCGAACTATAGGGTCACTAAGTTAACACTGAAGCTTATATAAACAGTCTATACAGATCATCATCAGTGTTACAGTATTGATTAGTTTATTTTAAAACTGGCTTATATAAGATAAGTTATCACATGGCTGGTAGATGTTATTTATAACTTTGAATGCTAATTAGTCTACATAATAATAAGCTCATTTGGGAGGACTGATGGTCTAAAACTTAAAGGTTTGTGTGTCATGCACATCAGCGTGGCAGACATTGTTCTCTAACGATTCATGAGACATTATATTTAATATGTTTAATGCCATTTGTTCACCACTGCTGTTCCAAATGATCAATGTGGAGAAGTTGTCAATTACTTGTAGAGAATTAGGTAAAGTACTGGTACAGAATTAATGTTACATCATGGTTTTCTAATTCATTCAGGTGTATAACTGAAATACTGCTAAATTGATGTTTAACCCAAAACAGTAATTCAAAATAAGTTACCATGAAAACATTTTCTTTTAAATTTTATGACGCTGTCTAAGTACAACATTTATTTATCTACATTCCTTTTAAAACATGATAAAATCAATACATTATATGTCTATATTTGGTAATGTAGATGATGTAATAGATACACAAAGGATATGGTACTTTATTTTGTTAAAGTGATAACTTCCATAACTCTTATATTTCGGCATGATGAAATATTAAGACGTGTTTGTTTACATGTACTGAGCAAAGTATTGCTAAATGAAATTATATAAAGCTAGTATATGTGCATGTAAGCAAATATACTCTTAATTGTAATATCTAAAAAAAAGCTTAAATTAAGTCTAGTAATTTTTTATCTTCATATTTCATGGTGTTTTTACTAGGTCACTAAACTTATACTTATGTCTGCACTTGGAGTTTACTCCCCAGCAGATATTATATTTTACTCCCCGGCACTTGTCTAGACTAGTATTATTGAAATGTTATTTATTTAGAAAATAAAAGTTATATAATCCTCAGAACAGAGAAATTTAGACCTTAATCAGTAACACTGTAGACCACTTCTATTTGTGCTATATTTTTAACATACAGTCATGTTTGACTAAAAACATATTTCAAATTTGATCTGAAAGTGCATATAACTTTAAGAGGTAATTGCCAGAAAAAAAATTAACTTTTAGCTGTTGTTTTTCTTTGAAAATATGCTTTTTTTGGCACTCCAGTATTTATTGCATGTTTTGTTTTTTTGAACAATATACAAAAGTAATTAAGTGTACACTTACAAACTTGCTTGCATGATTTCAATCGGCCATATTCCCTAGCCATGAATGATAACTCCCTGTTTCCCTGTCTAAAATCGCACCAAACTATTCCCCTTTCAAATGAACTCAAAGAAGGGACCTTTTAAAAGGACTTTGTATTTATTTATTCGATTTTTTGTTCAGAAACGAACAATTTTTTCTTTACCTTTGTATAATTTGCTTTCTATCTATATATGGTTCCTATGGTAAACATATGAGTTTTGATGGTAAACAAATGAATTTTCTGAACCGAAAGTAATCTAACACACAGCGTTGCTGTCATCACATGTAAACAATACATTAAATTGGTAAGAATATTGAGATATTTGTTTGACTATCAGTTTCAAATGCAAAATATTAATATGGAAAACAACCATGTGTAGTTTATGTGTATTGTTTTAATGTGTTTGTCTGATATTTTAGTTGTAAAGCCATGTACACTTAGTGTCGCTTCATGGCAACCGAGTTTAAAACGTGAGCGGTAACTGAACGAGATATGGCAAAGCGCATGCTAGCACACTGACTTCCGCTCTATCGAAATACTGTATATACATATAGCGAAAGTTCGTAAGTGGTGTATGAAGCATATATACCACAACATAACTGATTTTTTTGTAGTTGTTTTGCTTGTTTTGTTCACAAGCTGTGTAGTAACATCCTGTGAAATCTAGAATTGATAAACACCTAAAAAACTTTCCCTTGTTATTTTCTTCCTATAATAAACTTTAAAATAATAACAGTAACATATTGACTGGTAAATAATATATTATGGTGAACAAGATGGTGTGTACTGTACTAGATACAAACTAGACACATCATTGTATACGTATTGTCTATGTCACATGTTTTATTTTTTTCAGAATAATGGCCAAGGATGCAAGTTTTGAATTGCGGTTACACCTGATCTATTTAATAAATGATTTACTTCATCACTGGTAAGTTATGGCCTCAAGACAATTATTTTCCGGGATTTTTTTTTATTTTCAAGAGAAATTAATAATCGTCAACTTCAAAGGTCCAGAAATAGTCAAAAAAGAATTTATGGTATTATGCTGTCTATATATTGCAAAAGTTTCATCATTAAAATAGAGGCTGACAGGTTTATAGCTGCATATGTCATTATAAAATAAAATTTTTATCCTGATTGCTATGGTTTTGTGTTGTGATAGGTTGAGATACCTTTGCGGAAGATGTTAGTATTCAGCTACTGTCTCAAACAATTACTGATGCAAATTTTGTTTTTGATACTATCTGCGAATAGTGATGAGAATTTTTGAATAATAAGAATTATAGGGTTAAGAATTTGGACCAATTACCTGGCACTAGTGGCATTAGTGGCAGACAATTATAGTATTTAAGACCATTTATTCAGCTGTAATTGGCATAAAGATTATACATCTTACATGATGAAACAGTTTCTCAATTAAATACAAATCAAGATAATACACACTTAGTATGATACGCCCATACAGTACTTAAATACTTAACACTATCATACTTAAATCACAATCATAAAAATCATCTCTTCCCGTATACTTCTTATAAGAGGCCTTGTACGTAGTGAACATGTCAGATGTCTTTTAAGGAAGCATAATAGCCAAAGAAATCAGATTGACTAAAATCAGCGTGACTTAACTCCCAATCAACACTTGCTCCTCCCCTTTTCCCAAAAAGAAAGAAATGAAAAAAGGACCAAATAAATAAGCAAAAAATAAAAACAACAACACAGTAACACATACAACATAAACAATCAAGCAAACATGAGCTCAATGACATTTATTGATAGTTTTAACTACCTGATATATCAATTTGTATATTATTTATATTGTGAGCTATAACATGTACAGTAGATCTCCTGTAAGTTTTGAAATACATGTAGCTCTGGTAGAATCTATTGTCAAAGTGTATCATAGTTTGGGGACCTTTCTGTTGAAAATGTGTCAGAGTTAAATCATATACATATACATGCACAGTGTTGTTAACTGGAGTGCAGGTATTAGTTACCCGCACTCCAGAGCATGTCCATTGATTATCTCATTTTTACTGTGGTTTATCTATTGTGACGACAGAGAAACAGAAAGCAACAGAAATATCATATTCAGATCCTCGTTCATTAGTTACTTTTTTCTGGGGTATCAAATTGTAACAACAGGGAATGTGTTTTTATGTTTGACTATGATACAAAAGAGAAAGAACATCAAAACACTCGGCAATCTGATTAATACTCGAGGGCTATGCCCCCACGTAGTAATCAGATAGCCTCGTGTTTCGATGCTCTTTCTATTACTTGATTGGGAGATTATTCTTTCGTTTTACTATATACACTTGTTTTGTATTTTACTTTATACACATGTGTTGTAAAACTAGAACAAAATAATATAAAACCCGGGAAAATCTGCTGATTTAAGTCAGGTAATTTGATCAGATTAAAGAAACCACAGAAAACAATGGGAATTTATTAGGTTGATATGGTAACAGAAAGCCCCATAATTCTACCATGCTAGATAAATTATAATGATACTTTTTAAACAGAAAATGTTAAAAGTTCTTCAATTGACAATGACTTTTATATGACCTTGATCATATGAAGGTTATCTATTTTCAGTTTAGGAAAATAATTTCTATGAAAAAACTTATTAAAAGAGAATTTATGACCTGTTATAAAGTGTGAGAGAGCACAAGGCACTTTCATTTGTAATAAGTAATTGAACTACATGTGGTTTTAAAGCTTTTTCATGGCAATATTTTTTAAGCAAACATACATAATAAAATGTAATAACATTGAATCTAAATTGATTAATTTTCCTGGATATTTTTATTTAGGCCTTATGTAATTGTTGTTACAAGAGTTTTACATTTGCCTGCATATTTAATACCATCCTGGAAAGAAGTAAAGAAACACAGTAAAAAGATTTTAGTGTTCACTTGTATAATTTATTTAGTTGACGTTGACAATTCAGGTTTCATTTCCTCCTAAAGATTGGACTGTTTACAGGTTTGGATTTCATCCTGACCCTGAAAAATTCTTAAAAATCATGTAGTTTTCTCCTAAACTTCAACTTAAATAAAAACATATCTTCTCCTTTTGTATATACATAATGTTAATTTGCCCCCAAATTGAAAGGACCCTTTCCCTACCTATTGGCAAAAGCCCAGAACTGGTCTGGAAAGACTGAATAGAATAACTCTCATCTAAAAAGGGTTGCCATTTAAATCACTTGCCCCTCACTGCTGTGGGTTCAAATCCCGACAGGAACTTTTGATTCTTTCATGTGAGGAAGCTATCCAGCTAGCTTACTGAATGTTTTTGATTCTGCTTAGGTGCCAGTTCGTGTCTGAAATAATGCACTGAAGGACACCTGAGGTTCTCCCCCACCAGTAAAACTAGGAAGTCACCATGTGACCTATACTATGTTGGTGCGATGTAAACCCTCACCAATTTTGAACATAGAAAATTCTACATTCTCCAGACTCAAGCACTGAGAATAATCGAGTTCTTGTTTACAAAGCATTCAGTTATTGACCAATATCTTGGATATTTGGCCTGCATGTATCTTGTTTAGACTTTACCTTTTGGGTTGGGCCAAGTTGAAGGGGTTTCCTCATGGTGTACAGGATATTTGTTCCCATAATTTAATATAGATATTTGCTAGATATAGCCTGGTCATATAGAATAAATAGTTTTTTATGATTTTTCCCCAATTTCATGTCTCTGACAGTAAATTATGTGTTGTTAAACTCAGATATTTTAACTTTATTACTGTTAAATTTTGTATATTACATGCAAGTATGTGACAATAGTACATCTCATTGGCCATTCTTTCCATGTGGGTAGCCATGTTTTCGAACTGTAAAGAAGTATATGGTTATCTTACTTAACAAATATCAAAAGTTGTAATTTATTGTTAAATTTGTAGATTATCAACTTGACTTGTCAGTATGAGATTTTCAAATGTATCAAGGTTTAAGCTAAGTTGCTACCCATTTATGCCTAAAATAGAATTTATAAAAACTGCTTAAGTAACAGGTAAGGGTTTTTTCATAGGATTTATTTATAGAAACAGGTAATGGTTGGATTTTCCACTGGTAGTATTTTTAAGATTGTAATTTGATAATTTTGATATCATCATTGGGAACCCAGTGAAATGCGGTGTTTTTTGATTGCATGATACCATAAGGAAGTTAATATTTAGAATGCGGCTACTTGATATACAGATAATTTAACTATGTTTGAAGCCACACATTTAATGAGGTTTAAAATGGCACAAGTCCAATCATACTTTAGAATACCAAGAAGATTGTTAAAATTAGTTTTCAGTCATTCTTACATATGTTCTTTTCCTGGGTCCAATATGACAGTGTGTTATCCTCTCTTGTGCTTCTGCTATAAATCCATTTCATTAAATTTTGTCCTATCTCATACTGTGGTCAGTACTGATATACCCAGTCACCTTGGGGCATTGTAAGATCTTTCCCTTTTGACAAACATTATTCCTTCGTCCCTTCTAACTTAATATATACTGTATTGGACTTTTCATACATTATTTTTCTTCTTAAGTATCACTGTTTTTTCCTTGCTTTGCTTTGCCTTTTCCCTGCTTTAACTTGTAAATATTGTCGAAATGAATTAATTACTGATTTGATATGGTGTGTGTGTGTGTGTGTGTGATATAAAGTGTGTTTGATGGTTTATTAAAATTCCACTGTAGAATACTCACTCCTTATCGCCCGTCAATATGGTCCTCTTTATGTAATTTTATTTGGTACTATAATTATTATCCTGCTATGTTGACTTCACCAAAATGCAAGACTGGCAGATCTTATCTCTGTATGGGATCCAGTTATTCAGTTATCTTCTCCAAGTGTCCTCTTATCTTTCTATGACATTTTGGGTACCAATGAAAGCTTGTGTGGTAGTGTTTTGGTTTGGTCATCTTATTTTACACTCTTATTTTATGCTCTTATTTTATACTCTTATTTTATACTCTTATTTTATACGCGGAAAGTCCGAGCGGGGCCAAAGGCCCCGCGAGGGCTATAGCGCTGTTAGATAACATGTATGACGTGTATCAGTTCAAATGAAATCAAATTCAAACTAAATGAAAATTTCAAAAAAATATATATCCTATACCTAATGAGCTGTGAAAAAATCCTTAGTTAACAGGGCGCCGCCATTTTGAAATCATTTTGAGCTAAATATAGATATCAGAGCGCTTTTAATGAGCGTCTACATAATTCAGACTATTGTTAGCAGACGCATGCTAAGTAACACTTCCGGTGAAAGAATGACGTACAAAATCAGAAAATAAACCTGCATTTCATCAACAAGAATTTTAATAACGATTATAAATATAAAAAGTTACTTTAACATATCCTTTTTGATAAATAAGCACATTGAAAATAACGTTAAAACAACAACTGTGATTAGAGATTAAAAATGGTGGACGGGATTTTCCAAACGCCGACGCATGCGCAGAGGTCCCCCCTGTACGTTCAGAGATTTTCGGAATATTCCGGGTGCTCCGATGATAGGTTGAACACCACCAATTTATTCGTTTTGTTTATGGTACAAATTACCTTCAAGAAAGATCTGGTTTACATGTACACTAAATATGTTATGCTAAAATCATAATTCATAATGCTTTCCGCGCCATAGGTAGCACCTAATTTCATATCACTCTTATTTTATACTCTTATTTTATACTCTTATTTTATACTCTTATTTTATACTGTTTAGCTCTTAACCTGCTGGAATTTTTAAAATGGACATTTCCAGCTTCTATTCTTGCAACTATCAATTATCAAATGGAGATTTTAAAGTAAGTCAGGCAACTGTTTAGAGCCTAGTCAGACAGCACAGATGGCCTGCAGACCGGCTTTGCCGAGGGGCTTTGCAGCTAGCTTTGCTGACTGGCTCAGCTATATACTGGTGACAAAGACTTATCTTATCAGTTTCGCAGGGTATAGATTGATATAACTTAATTTCAATTATTTAACATTTCAGTCAAAGAAAGAATGCGGAACTTCTAAAGTCACATCTAGCACAGATTGTTGTCCCGGTGTTTTGTACAGCATTAGTGGGCGCAGACGATGCCAAGAAAGTTAAACTGAATAAGGTAATGTTTGAGTTTCTCCATCAAAGGAAAATCTGCTGAATATGCAAAATAATGCTGATAATTAACTTTATTTTTTTTAAACATTCAAACATATTGGTTGAACGAATTTATTGTTAAAGATATCTGAAGAAAAATAAAATAATATGATAATGTAATAGGAATATTTGGGTTATGTATGTTTTAAGTTAAAGATGAACCTTGTAAACAGTTATAATTAATATAAAAGAGACAATATAGCTACATGTAGGTCAGTTGTGACATGTTTTGTCAACCTATGTAACATGATTATGTAAGTGTTTCGTGGTTTAACTACATTTGTACATTAATCAGACCTTACTTTAATGTTTAAATGTTACTTGGATTAAAGGCAAGAGCAGAGAAATTAATTGGTTAACCTATTATTATGCCCCCATTTCGAAGAAAAGGGGGTATATTGCTTTGCACTTGTCGGTCCGTCGGTCTGTCGGTCCGTCGGTCCGTAGACCAAATGGTTTCCGAGTGATAACTAAAGAACCCTTAGGCCTAGGAACTTCAAACTTGGTATGGTGATTGGTCATGACAAGTAGATGACCCCTATTGATTTTGGGGTCAAGGGGTCAAAGGTCAAGGTCACATTGACCTTGTAAGCAAAAACGGTTTCCGATCAATAACTAAAGAACATTTAGGCCTAGGAACTTCAAACTTGGTATGGTGATTTGTCATGATCAGTAGATGACCCCTATTGATTTTGGGGTCAAGGGGTCAAAGGTCAAGGTCACATTGACCTTGTAAGCAAAACGGTTTCCGATCAATAAGTAAAGAACCTTAAGGCCTAGGAACTTCAAACTTGGTATGGTGATTGGTCATGATCAGTAGATGACCCCTATTGATTTTGGGGTCAAGGGGGTCAAAGGTCAAGGTCACATTGACCTCTTGGATAAAACGGTTTCCGATCAATAAAAAAAAAAACCCTTAGGCCTAGGAACTTCAAACTTGGTATGGTGATTGGTTATGACCAGCAGATGACCCCTATTGATTTTGGGGTTAAGTGGTCAAAGGTCAAGGTCACATTGACCTTGTAGGTAAAAACGGTTTCCTATCAATAACGAAAGAACCCTTAGGCCTAGGGACTTCAAACTTGATATGGTGATTGGTCATGATCAGTAGATGACCCCTATTGATTTTTGGGGTTAAGGGGTCAAAGGTCAAGGTCACATTGACCTTGTAGGTAAAAACGGTTTCCGATCAATAACGAAAGAACCCTTAGGCCTAGGAACTTCAAACTTGGTATGGTGATTGGTCATGATCAGTAGATGACCCCTATTGATTTTGGGTCAAGGGGTCAAAGGTCAAGGTCACATTGACCTCTTGGGTAAAAGCAGTTTCCGATCAAATAACTAAAGAACCCTTAGGCCTAGGGACTTCAAACTTGGTATGGTGATTGGTCATGACCAGCAGATGACCCCTACTGATTTTGGGGTTAAGGGGTCAAAGGGCAAGGTCACATTGACCTTGTAGGTAAAAAATGCTTTCCGATCAATAACTTAAGAACCCTTAGGCCTAGGAACTTCAAACTTGTATGGTGATTGGTCATGACCAGCAGATGACCTTTTGTTTTTTAGGGTCAAGGGGGTCAAAGGTCATGTAACATTGACCTTGTAGGTAAAAACGGTTTCCGATCAATTAACTAAAAACGCTTAGGCCTAGGAACTTCAAACTTTGTATGATGATTGGTGGTGACCAAGCAGATGACCCCTATTGAGTTTTGGGTCAAGGGGTCAAAGGTCAAAGGTCACATCGACCTTGTAAGTAAAAACGGTTTCTGATCAATAACTTAAAAACGCTTAGGCCTAGGAACTTCAAACTTGGTATGGTGATTTTTCATGACCAGCAGATTACCCCTTTCGATTTTGGGATCAAGGGGTCAAAGGTCAAGGTCACATTGACCTTGTAAGTAAAAACGGTTTCTGATCAATAACTAAAGAACGCTTCGGCCTAGGAACTTCAAACTTGGCATATAGTGATTGGTCATGATCAGCAGATGACCCCTATTGATTTTGGGGTCAAAGGTCAAGGTCACATTGACCTTGTATGTTAAAACGGTTTTTCGGATCAATAATAAAAAAACCCTTAGGCCTAGGAACTTCAAACTTGGCATGATGATTAGTCATGACCAGCAAATGACCCCTATTGATTTTTGGGTCAAGGGGTCAAAGGTCAAGGTCACATTGACCTTGTAAGTAAAAACGGTTTCTGATCAATTAACTAAAAAACGCTTAGGCCTAGGAACTTCAAACTTTGTATGATGATTGGTCTTGACCAGCAGATGACCCCTATTGAGTTTTGGGTCAAGGGCGTCAAAGGTCAAGGTCAATGACCAGTAGATACTTGATAACCCTTATTAATTGTTTTGATCACTGGGTCAGAAGTCATGCATAATTACCTTATCACATGAATAATTGGCTGCTGATAGGGGGCATACATGTTTTACAAACATATCTTGTTTATATAAGCATAGATAATTATACAGTGTACATGTAAAAGGTTTTAGAAATGATGTTGTTGTTTTTCTGGGAATATTAATGTATAACATCCTTGATCTACAAACTGTAAAAATGGGTCAGTTTACTTACCGATATAGAAAGCATTTAGTAGACAATATTTTGATTATGATCTTGGTATCATAGAGATGTTTTATTGATGTACATAAAATTAGGACACTTGCTAAATATGAGTTTTGCATATAGTATGTGATCACTAGTTCAAGCAATTCTTGGGAATGTTTGACTTGTAAAGAATGATTATTTCTGGTAAAGATAAAAAACATTTGTTTGTTAACTGCCAAATTATATAATGAAGGTTAGGTCTTAAAGCTCAGACAATGGCCATGGAACTTGCTCAGTGGGTCTGTTTTAATGATTTCTTACCTAAGATTGAATATAGTTAATTTTTGGATCAGAAACTTGATCTTTTAAATCTCAGGAAAACCCTGTTAACACTATAGATATCCCAGTTTAAATAGGGTCATCATTATAGTCTGAAATTTTGTTTTAATGTTAACATGGATAACTTTGGGTCATTTGGGGTTCAAAAACTAGTGGAACAATGTTAACTTATCAATACTTTATGTACCAGTAAATCAAGAAGGAATATTAGAGTTGTTGGCTTGTGTCATTGGCATTGATTATATGGAAATCCAGATCTTTCTTTTTGTCATAAATTTATGCTTTTAATCTAGTCAGGTCATGAAATATGTAATAGAAAGAACATCAAAACACCAGGCTATCTGTTTTGTGAGTATCAATCACATTGCTGAGTGTTTTGATGTTCTTTCTTTTTATTCTTTTATATCATAGTCAAGCATAAAAAACTTTTCCTGTTGTCACAATATGAAACCCCAGAAAAAAGTAACCAATGAATGAGCATATTTAACTCTGACACATTTTCAACAGAAAGGTCCCCAAACTATTATACAAACAGAAGATTACAGTCTTCAAGTTAATTTAGGAATATCCATTGCTACCCTCTGATTTGATTAAAAATCTCATCTACTTGTATCTAGTTCTTATTGTACTACTAGACAATGATTCTGCAGTTTTGGAAGACTATACTAATCAATGATGGTGTTATAAAGTGCAAAATGAAATTGAACAAAAAAGAGATGTACTTTATCATTAAAATCATGATTTAAATAAGAATATTGAAATGTTATCTTAAATTATGATATGCAAATTACAAGGAAGTGATCAATCATAAATCTGCAATTCAAATCCAGACATTGTACCTATGAATGATGACATTGTCAGAATTTTTAACACATTTTTGTTAAGGCAATGGGTATAATTACGCCTGTTATTTGAATACAGTAACAGATTGAAATGGAAGGTATTTTTTAACATCAAATGACAAATGAAATAAGAGAAATCAGTCATATTAAGTTTTTTTAGCAAAATAAAAAAAATTATGACCTTGCTGCCATGCTGATTTATGTTTTATGCTTATCCAGCCTTGTGGTATGGCCATGTTCAATCCTGTTGTCATTTTAATGTATAAGAAATCTGAATGAGTGCCTTTGTTTGATATAGAGGCTTTGTAGTGAAAGATTCAGCTTAAAGCAAAGTAAAATGTTACATATTAGAAATTATATAGAGTTTCTTTTTCTATTTACAGTTACTGACATTATGGGAACAAAACAAATATTTCACCCAGGACACTATAGAGGTAGGTTATTTCTAGCATAAAGAAGACAGACTGGTTTGTACACGGACATCAGTTTACAGTTTTTGTAGTCTACCATTTCTCTGAAAAGTCTGAATGCTGGCGTCCTTCCACAACTTGCTTATGCTACTAGTTTACAGCCAAGCTTGACTACATATATAGTCAGTTTGACCTTACTACTGTCAAATGATTGATTTTAATTAATTGTTCAAATATGAAATCGCCAAAATGAAAAATGTGCATTTTCAAAATGGACACTTTCAGCCAATATTAAATAATAAGCTGAATTACGAATTTAACCAATATCCATGACACTTTATGATTCAGACTGTTTGATTGCTGGGTTCATATAGTACACGTTTAGATGACCAGTTCATGTCCTTGGCAAATGTTGTTGAAAGATGCACTTTTTATATCAAACCATTTATTTTGTTGATCTTATTTGAGAGGCAATGAAATGTTTGCTATTAATAATAACATTAATGTACTTAGTACTATTGCTGACTTTAAAATCTTCCAGGGAGGTTAAAAGGATAAACGGATAAAAGCCTCCCAGAGAGTTGTTACATGACCATAACCATGTTCAAGTAAAGATTTTTTTAATGTTAACAAGTAAACAAATCCGCTTTCATAACCACAGTAAGAGGAAAACATTATTTTTTTTATCCTGGTCAAATATGTTTGTTCCTTGTATTTTGTTATGTTCACACTATATGATACTGAAATGTCGGGGGAAAAAAACATTTCTTAGCTAATTTGTTTCTATTTCACCTTTATGTGAACCATATTTGAAACCTTTAGTATTTTAATCGTGATACTTTTTATTATTTCTCATATATGGGCATTTATTCTTACGGAAACTTGAATCTTGATATTAACTCTCCATTATTAATTTTGCTGTTATATGTCAACATTGGTGTATGTTTCTGCTATAATTGTGAGAAAGTTGTGAAAATCGTGATGTCTGTACATATAATATATTGTGAACGTCAATACTTTATGACTTGATGTAATGAAATATGAACTTTTGCTCTTTACAACCATCACAGTTATTAAAGAAATTATTTTTATATTTGTACATCTATTAACATTTGAAGTGCATATAGGAAAACTTTCAAATAGTATTGAATTAAGATTTGTCTCTATATATAGAAATAACTTGAAATAAAAGATATTAATTGCACACTGCGGCTGAAGACTTAGTGTGTTCCTTTTTGTGAGAAATTATCATTTAAATATACAGGTTAAAAACAGCCTCAAGTTATTTAACCTTAGTTTTTTAACAACTTTAATGTTTTATTTCTTTGAATGCATTCCAAATCATTAAGCAAAGCATATTTACTTTTGTTAACATTTGTTTTGCAAAGGTAAGAATTTGATGCTCGTCATTGTGTTGTTTTTTTTGGTGTGTAATTGTCGATGTTAACATGATGCTTGGAATGATAAGAAAATGCTAACGCCTACATGTTTATATGTCAAATGTAATCACAATGTTTGACATGTTAGATTGAAGTCTGTTTCTGCGTAATATTCTTTTTATAAGGTCATTGAGGAAATAAACAAACAAAACAAATGGTTTTTCTTTGAATCAAGGAAGGCTCAAGAAACATTTTTTAATGTGACTTCTTATAATCAGTTGCCATTTATGTTAAACTTTCACACTTTTTGTTCAGTTACAAAGAAAAGTTGTTTAATGGTGATATTTGTGTCTCAATTTAGTTTGAAACAGTCTGGTCTGGTCTGCTAAAAGCTTGTCCAGCCAATAAGTAAGGAGTGTGGAAATTGGTCATGACTAGTAGATGACCCTTATTGATGTTAAGGTCAGTAGGTACTGTGGCAAATGAAGTTGGGGTAATATTTGAGCAATGGATTCAGGGTTTAGTCACAATTGCTTATTACTAATAGGTAAACATTAAAAAAAATATTTTTATGCACTGACTTTTGTGGAAGTAGGGGGGGGGGGTAGATTTGCCCTTGTCCATCATACTGTCCATCTATAGACTGACAAAACAGTGAAATTAAATAGGGGAGCATCCATGTCCTATGAACACATTTCTAGATTATGCTTGAAACCTTTTGTAAGTACATGAATTTTTCACAAGAAGCTGATGACATTTTCTTAAATGCAACCTTAAGTTGTTGTGCCTTAAAAATGTATTAAATGTAGAGGATCCAAGATTTCAAGATTTTTATTTTCAATATATGCAAAAGTCCCACACTAGCGGGAAAAATAAGCAAACTTCCACAAGTACAGTTTTAGTTTTTTTTTTTCCATAAATCTATTGTTCCTTGACTAATGCATCTTAATTTCCATTATAAGTCAGCATTTCCTTTATGGCAAACAAAATGATGTGTTGCTGAAGTAAAATGCCAACCAAAAAAATCAGACATATAGTATGTTTTTGAACTATGAAATTAACATGCAACAACTGTTTTAGCTGAATGCAGCTATTTGAGACCTATGGTATTTGTAAAGATAAGTCCTGGTTTAAAGAAATTAATACTCAAGTCTAAAATACATATTCTGGTCTTAAATTCCTTAGTTTAAAGTCCTGGTTTAAAAAATGTTTCCTGGTCTAACATGAGTCCTGGTATAGGCAAAATGAAAGAACTTTGTTTTTGAGGAAACTACATGTATATTAAAGTTACATTTGGAAGTGTTGTTGTGATTGTTAAACACCAATATGAAAACTTAATGTACTTGAGCTGCAACCATGTAAAGAGCATAGATTAAACATTTTAGCATTTTAATCGTGTTCAGGCCACTGTTTCCTCTTTTAACTTTTGAATCTGACAAAATTATGCAAAAATAGTCTTGCAGCTCTTTTTTTTTCCTATAGAAATTTGCATTTCTGATTCTCAACTGAAATGTGAGTGTGACAGACATTTTTTTGTCCTCATTGTGACAAAGATTTTTGCTTATGCAGCAAGTGGCAGAATATTTTATGAATCTAGATCTTGACAAGGTTACTTGTCAACTGTTATGGGGAGACATAAAGCCTAGCTTAGTTGTCAGTATTGTATCAAGACCAGTTTGTTAATATTAACTTATATGTTAATGCTTACATTACATAATATTAGCAAGAAATTCCAAAATTTTGATATAAGGCAAAATTTACTTACATAATTATATTATAAACCATTAAAAGTACATTAATAAACTTTTTTGACAGAAATTTTAATGTAATTTTATGCATTTAATTTATTGTCTTGCATTTAATTGACCTAGTTTCTAAGGATAAAGAATATTTCATACACTGTTCTACATATAAAACTTACAAAAGGTATAACTGTGTTTAAAGATATATATTAAGTGCATAATAAGAAATGATAAATTATATATAATTCATTGGTTTTCTTGTCTGTTAAGTACTTTATTATTATAATGAAACAATTGGTGAATATGCATAATATTCATTCTGTCCATTCTTCTAGAAAAAAGCTGTTATAACCCTACTATTGTATTTAAAGAGATTAATTTTGAATGACAGAAATTTTACTTTAATTAATTGTCTTGCATTTAGTTGACCTAATTTCTAAGGATAAAGAATATTTCATACACTGTTCTACATATAAAACTTTACTGACAAAGGAATAACTATGTTTAAATATATATATTAAGTGCATAATAAGAAATGATAAATTGTATATAATTCATTGGTTTTCTTGTCTGTTAAGTGCAAATTATTATAATGATGTACATTATATTTATCCTTTCCATTCTTCTAGAAAGAAGTCTGTTCCAATTTTTCTTCCGGTATTTGAAGAAATTGATTTTAAATGAGACTAATAATTGTTTCAGTTTTAGAAAGATATTTCTATGAGATTTTGACATTGTGTGTGGGCTGTAGCTTAATTAGTAAATTTCCATACAGGGAAATAATTAAAAGGTTTTAGCAATGTAATTATAGTTTCAAGTGTTTTTTAATTGTGAAATGTAGTCATTACTATGTTTAAAATAACACTGCAGTAATAATTCTCTCATGTTTTAGAAGCCTGATAGTTAATTATACTGGCTATAGAAAACCTGTAATTGCAATGTGATAATGACTTAAGTTTAAACATGTACATTGTTCAAGTTTCTTTGTAAATCAACAATAGAAAACTTGCCCTTCTACACAGTTACAATTGAATTCTTTTCTCAGAATAAATAACACATATACTACCATGTTGTTGTCCTGAATTTTAACTCTTAGCCCGAGGCCGAGTGGTTTGAAGAAGGCTTCAAAGTACTTGCCCCTGACAGTAACTTGTTTAAATCCTGACAGGAACTTTGGATTCTACGGATATTATGTGAGGGGGCTATCCAGTAAACTGATGGAAGGTTGCTGGTTCCACTCAGGTGCACCACGTTCATGCCTGAAATAATGTATGAAAGGCACTTGAGGTCTTCTCCCACCAGTAAAGCCGTAAAATCACCATGTGACTTGTACTGTGCTGGTATATGACTTAAAAACTAATAGAAAAAAAATAACTTAACCTGCTGAGTTTATATGATTGTATTGCCTGGATTTAAATTTAAATTTTATATTATTAAAATACCAAAATTGAGGAAGCAACAATATAGAGCCTGGTCAGATGCCATAAGTTAGGCTTTACTAACACAGTGTTTATTTGATTGTGCAGGTATTTTGCAAGAGTTTGACATTAGACCTCTCTTCAAAATGAAGTGAAATGATGTACGATTAAGGAATATTATTCTTTTGTTTCCATATTTCTTCCATTGTAATATTTAAATGCTTATTAAGATATGATATTTTATGACTGTCAACCTTTTAGATGTGGCTGTTTAATTGCAGTGTATTATAAGATAAGATATTCATCTTATTGCAAAGTTATGCTTTGTATGTAAATTTAAGCAATTTCTATAAGTTAATGAACTATTTTATGTTTCCTAGTTATGAACTGTGGACAATTTTAATTGAAATAGGATAGACAGTTAGATGGAAAACAATTGTAGATTAATAAAAGAATAACTTTAGTTGCCATTGGTTAATTTTCAA